GTGATGTCAAAGTTGTGCATCTTCAATAATTCAAACCAATGTCTTCTTCCTCGCTAGGGTATATATTCCTTAGCCGCTAGATAGGAACTGTGGATGTGGATGAAAAATGCATCACCGTAACAATTTACAATAAATAAATAAAGTAGGTGGTTCACTACTAATAATTTTGAAGCGTACTTAAATAATTGCGAAACATTTCTTTAAAAATTTGCTTATTTATCAATTGCGAAAAGAAAAACCAAATTTTTATTGCACAATGATTATTGGAAAAAAATATATATTGTAGGCTAGAATTCTATTGTGCTTATAGATAATCTTTCAATTAAATTATATAAAGGAGTGCTAGCGATAGGGTTTCAAGACCTACACGAGGGTGGTTCATGCATATACAACACAAGGGATTCATGTGGAGGAAAAAAAAAGTTCAGTCTTTACTGAAAAGAGGAAGGAGAATGAGGTCATAATTGGAACACAGGGGCTGGTTTTGAATGTGGATGGATTTTTCATTAGTTTTGGCGCTTTGAACTTGAATTACATACTCTATATCAATTTCTTCCTTCTAGGGGCGGCCCTGGGGTGGTGCAAGTGGCACCACCGCACAGGGCCCCGAATTCTTGAGGGCCCCCGAAAAAAAAATTTATATTTTAAATATATTAATATTATAGGAATCTAGACATTTAAGCAAGAATGTGTCTGGTGGAGTTGGCTCTAATGCGTATTCACTTAACAAAACTGCTTGAGTTCGATTCTCATTGAAGTCCATCTATTTTCCTTTTTTTTATATACTATTTTTTGCATTATAACAACAAATTTTACATAATTTTAAATAAATAAAAACAAAGAGCCTTTAAAAAAGGAAACGTCGAAGCTTAGCTAACCACAGAAGCAATATATGCATCCCCTAAACACTTTCTACTCCTCCCCTTTTTTTCTTTAAAATAAAAAAAAGCTTTCTCCACCAAGAAAAGTACTCTCTTCATTCAAAACAAAACAAAAAAAATCATAGTTTCTTCTGATTATCTAGTAAGTAATCATCATCATTCATCAATCTCTCTTTGGTTCTTTTTTCAATCCTTTGACAATTTTTGTTTTTTTTTCAATTTTAGGAATTTCAACACCAACAAAAGAAAACCTTAATTCCTAAATTCATAAAGATCACTCAAAATCAAATAGTCAGTTTCAAATCTCAATTCAAATTCAAGTATGTATCTTAATTTCAATCTATTCTATATATTACATGACTTATTTTATTAAATTATTATCATGTTGATGATTAGTTATATGGGAATGTAGTTTTTAGAAATATTTATCTATTTCTTGCTGGGGTTTTCTTCTAGGTTATAGGGTTTTGGAATTTTTCTTTGTTAATGACATTTGTGTGCAACTACTCATTAATTTGTGATTGTCATTTTTTTTTCCTATTAAACACAGATTGCTTATTGGAGGCAGCAAGAGACTTTATAGGGGCACAATGAGCTTATTATTTTTGTACCAAACATACTAATATTTAACTTTATCAAATGGAAACATTTAAATTTTTATGAATTTGATTTCGGATTGTCATTACATGTTTATTGATGGTGACCTTTAGTTATAAAAAAATTGTTTATGACATTTAGTTATGGAAAATTTTTATTTATAGTATTTTCGTATTAGATTATATGAGGTCCAAATTTAAGTTTTGCACAGGGCCCTCAAAATCTCAGGGACGGCCCTGCTTCCTTCATTAGTTGTGGCTGGTTTTGAGGATGTTTCTCATTCAACTCATTCGCACAGCTCTGTAATTGATAATCTTGTTCAATCTAATCATATAACTAGATATCGATTGGTTATGAGAAAAAAAACAAAATTCAAGTTGGTTTCAAACTATAATTTCTCATCATATGGAGAAATGAGGGAGAACAAGCAAATGACCCAAGTCGATTACCATAAGAAAACTTCAATTAGCAAAAATTCCACCCCTAATTTTTTAAAGAAATTTCTAATAGCAAGGTCACTGGGAATAAGGATTTAGTCTACTCCAATGTCTCACAGTAACCACATCACCCTCTCTTCGTACCCCAAGCCCACAACTGATCCAAAAAACCGCAGTTTGACTGGTTTGACATGTTTGGTATGCGATGCATGCCATGGTGAAGAAAATATCAGCAGAGCTTCAGGAAGATGAGGGACGAGATGTATTGTTAGTAGTCACTACATTCAGGGAGCATCTTAATGATACTATGTGTGTGTAATGGTGTGAGTATTTGTTAGTTGAGTCTCTTCTCTCACTGGAAAGCTTGTGTACTGAAAATATGCATTGTATTTTTACTCATACAATTCTGTCTTTTAAGTACCCAACTGTCTTAACAGTTTCTCCCAAACTAACCAACAATCCAACCAACTCTGCCACATCACAAGCTGACTCAGCCAACCCATTAAACCGAGAATTGAAACGATTTCGTATGCCCCTTCTTTCTATTTCTCTCGTCACACGATCATACTCATCCTTTTTCTTTTTCTTTGGCCAGCATCATACTTACTCATGGCTGGTCATGGACAGTCATTTAAATTTTGATCATCTTCACCTTACTAAACCTGTCACTTCTTCAGAACTTGCATTGCTAACTTCTCCATGTCTTGAAATTGTTCAGCGTCGCATTGCTCACTTCTCAAAAATTTTACTAAATATTTACAAGTACCAGAGAAATAAAACCAATTGAAAATAACACACATTCTAGAATCATCAACACCTAATCATATTAGTGATATGAATTTACTGCTATACAAAAATTGATTAAATGAATTCACATTAGATGGGTCATATCTGATACAGGCTTCTGCTTGGGCCCAGGCCCATACAGTGCTGCAAGACATCTGTTCATTTTTTCTGTTGGCATTTTTGGGCAGGCAGAGGCCCACATTTGTATTTATTTATTTTCTTCTGGTTTTTAGTTTGTCAAAGTTAGGAAAGGAACACACTATCAAAGTGTTCGAATATGAAACTACTGATCTACAAGTTAATGCCCATTTTCACCGGACTAAACCCCATTGGCCTAATTTTGTATTAGTTGGAAAGTGGTAATTTGCTCCATATACCAACCCAAAACCTTATTTTTTTTAATTTTTTATCAAAAAAATTAATAAAAAAAGAATAATACATTAATTGAATCTCGACCGTCTATGCAACGATGATTAAACAAGTGTCATATCCATGATGGAATGGAGAACCCACTTTGGTCCCCATGATAGGGTGCCAACATATAGAGCTTAGAGCCGGCCAAATTTCCATGTCATATTCCTACTAAAAATTGAGGTGTTTAGTTAAGAGTATTTTTGGCATTTGGCCTACCCACCAAATTGACAAGTCTTTTTCTTTTGTGGGGGCATCTTTGTTTGGTCTCTTTGTTGATGGATTTGGCCGATTTAGAGACAAATTAAAAGGGAGCAATCTTAGCCCTACAAAAACCAAATCTCCAAAGTTAAATTTGGGGACCATATTCTTATCTATAACAAATCACATATGCAAGTGAATGTCGCTTTCACGTCCACATCTCGTAGCCGAGGAAGCATAAGGAGACATACTAATTACCAATTGGATAATAAATCTAACGAAATAGTGTATTTGATAAACTTATAAATAAAATAAAATAAATAAAAATACTTATTTACTGTAGTGCCCTTTGAAACTAGGGGACATATCTGCTGTCCCCAATTTGGTGTCCCCTTTGTGTCCCTTCTCTAATTATTCGACACATGTCATATAACTTAACAGAAAATTAACTTTGTTAACTTGTTTTATTTTATCATTAAGAAAAAATCCTTTAAAAAATATATAAAAAATCCCCGAGACAAAAGTGTTGTGAACTTAAAAACCAATACATCACAAAATGGAAGAGACATGAGACATGAGAAATCACAATCCCTAAGAAGAAGACATCTGAATCACAAAATGAAACCAACTCATCTTTTACGTAACACAAATGCTAGAACGATGAAGAGACTGTTTGATTTACGAGAAAACAAAGGAAAGATATGTGAGTGTTGATTTGGAGGGATATAACTCCTATTCAACCTCTCAGTTCACAAAATCAAATGAAATTGAAATCCAAAGAAACAAATCAACCAAAACCCAAAACAAATAACAAGCTAGAACTAAAGGGACACTCCGAAACCAAAATGAAACAAAACAGAGAAGGAATCAACAGTCCAAAAGAACATAAGCAAACTCCAAAACCCAAAGATAACTCCCAAAATAGAAAACAAATGGAAAATTTGGACATCTTTAACAACAAGAAGCTCTCCACAACCAAGATTCATGTCCACGTAGAAACAGCCAAAGGCACCTCACGATCAACTTGCACTTGCTCTATGGGATCGAAGAGGCATTGACTTTGGCCCTTGAAGGCAATGGCCTAGGGTTACTGCTGGGATGCGTACGCTCCTTTACTTCTTATTTGCTAAGTTTTTAATTTTTTTTAATGTAAAAAATAAAAAGAAGTTAACAGAGTTAACTCTCTGTTAAGTTATATGACACATGTCAAATAACTAGAGAGGGGACATGAAGGGGACACCAAATTGGGGACAACGGATCCGCTCCCTTGAAACTATGGTCAAATCTTACTTTACCATTTGAAAGTTGAAGTGGCCCACTTTACCTCATTGACTGATTTTTTGCATCTCAATTTACCCCATACTTTCAAGTCAATCAAAAATTCTGTTTAAAATGTTGATGTGGCATGTATGGGACCTACAAGTTTGTTGAATTGGATGCCACATGTGTAAAAAAAATAAAAACAAATATCCTTTTCTTTATAAATAAATAATAAAATAAAAAACTTAACTCAATTATTAATAATAAAAGAAAAATAACCATAAAAACAAAAGAAAAAATTAGCAGGAAATTTAAAAAACTAACAACACCGTCTTCTCCACACCCCTCCACCATCGCCACTAAAAAATCTCCTCCCTCACCCCACCCCCTCCCTTCGTACCTAGCCAACCTTTTATTTGTATCCAGTTTATATAAAATCATATCTATAAAATGTGGTCTCTTTGTAAGAAGGAATTGCCTTAAAATATTGCCCATGATTGTTGTGATTTTGATGATGGTGAGGAGGATACTGGTCTAACATGCTCGGCTGAGAGGAGGAGGCCTCCATCCTAACGTCTCCCCACCTCAAGACAACCTCTCTCTTTATCTTCATATCAAACAAGCTCGAAACTCCAGATTCACCGAGGACTCAACCCAATCACCATTTTAGATCCGTCACAGACTAAATCTAATCGCAATACCAGATCCAATCCTGAAAGACCAAGGCCATGCCACCGTCTTCTTTACCAAGCTTTTTGCCCCCGCAACCCACAAACCCATCCCCACCACAAATGTATTCGTTGTTCTTGTATTCCATTTTCTTTTTCTTTTTTGGGTTGCGGTGGGTTTAGGTGGTTATGTATGATGGTGGGGTGGTTGTTAGTTGCAGAGAGAGGAGGAAGGATGATGGGGGCATATTTAGGGATACATAAAGGTTAGGTATGCGTAACTGGGTTTGGAGGAGGGGATGGGAATTGTATTTTTGTTTAAAATATTATTATTATTAATTGAGTTAAGTTTTTTAAAAGAAAATCTTTCTTTTTTTATATATGGCACCTATGTGGGATCCAATTCAACAAACTTGTGGGTCCTATTTGTGCCATTTCCGCATTTTTCATAGAGTTTTTGACTGAATTGACGGTGGGGGATAAATTGAGATGCAAAACATCGGTCAAGAGAGTAAAGTGGGCCACTACAACTTTCATAGGGTAAAGTAAGATTTGACCATAGTTTCAGGGGGCACTAATGTAAATAAGCCCTAAAAAAAACCCTAGCCCTCTCTCTTCCAAAAAATACTCCTAGAGTCGTTTTCACTTTGAGGGGGGAGGAAGCCACTGTTCTTCCTCCCCTCTCCCCTCCCCCTCCTCTCTTCCTCCCTCTATTTGTCTTCGTTTTGTTATGATTTTCCTCCAACTATCACAGACGATTGCATCTCGGCGTCATATCTCCACCTGCATTTCGGTGTTGAATCTCACCTTTCCTTTTGTGAGAGTTTTTCACCTCTATTTTGTGAGAGTTTTATTTGTATTGTTATGACTTGGTTTTTTTCAAACTTTATATCTTTTTTATTATTCTGAGTTTGCAATCTTAGTTGGGATACATATGCCAAAGTTTCCTTGATCATGTGTGATCGTTACTGGAGGCACACCAAATTGTCATAATTTTGATGTTAGACCGCTCCGTTATTGTAATGGCCCTTTTGTGACTAGTTTATATTGGCCCTTTGTGGCTAGTTTGTATTGGCCTTTTGTGACTAGTGGCTTTTTGGCTAAATTATGAATGTAATCCTAGAATTTCTCAACAAAAAAGAAAGATAAAATCAATGTAATTATGCATACTGTATTTTATGCAACCAATCGGGCCTTGGCAGTAATTCTTTTTTTTTGCCAAAATTTTCTAAAAGTAACCCCCTTTCCCAAATCGTTTTCATTGTTACATGTTTTCTCAGCAATTATTATTTGTTATACATGATAAAACTTTCAATTAAAATTTCCATCAATATTAAGGGAGGAATGATTCGGAAGACCTCAAGTGTGTTGAGAATTTTTGTCCCACATTGAAAAGTTAGGGATTTAGTATGGGCTTATAAGGAATTGAGTTACTGACCTCATTGCCAATTCGTTTTAGGTGGAGTCTCAACTTCCTTCTTGAAATCATAGTGCGCTATCCACATGTGCTCCCAATGTCACTTATTATGTGTTGTCCACGTGTTAAGCTTGCAAGTTCGCCACACTACTAGAGCTCAATTTCTCACACCATTGATGTATGATTAATTTTTTTTCTTTATTGATAAGTGATATATTACTAGATCAAATATAAGTTGGAAGTATGTCATGACAAAATTGAGAATCCATTAGATAATAAGACTCAATAAGTTAAGAATAGATAATTAGAATTGGATTTTTATACTTAAAAAGACCAAAAAGGTAGACAACCAATTGGGTTCTAATGGCGAAATGAATTAGGATTATGTTAGGTCTTGATTCCTTCCATTATAACATCAACAACAACAAAATTAGTAGACAACCTAATTTTACATTCCACCTTATTGGGTCAACAGTTTGCACCATCCACAGATCGGTTTTTGTTTATAAAGAATGTTCAAACCGATAGGTTGGTGAGGGGTGGTTTCGCCCAAAACTCAAGCCAATCTACATTGCATTTAGGCTTTTATTTTTAGGACATTTCCTATTGAGATGAGCGATAATATACTAAACTCATACACACAATACGAATGCTAGGACTCGAACCCAGGATCTTGCTGCTTGAGGGAACAATTACTCCAAATCACTACACTAGTGGGCCCTTTGCACATTTAGGCCTTAAACGTGACCACTTTTGTCAATTTTTGTAACTTACAATTGTCTTCATTAATATAGTCTCAAAACTTAAGGATTAGCTTGGGACGAAAAACAAATTAAGGATGAAAAGTGAAACAACTACAATACTTCAGAGGAGAAATCTGTAATATAAGTGGGGATGGGGACCCTCTCTTTCTTCTTCATGGCTCTTATTCATGCTCTGGAAGCTCCTTATTCTAAGGGTCTTTTTAATTGGATTCAAAGGTAGAGAAGGGTAAAACTCGAATCTAAGATAAAGGTTGTACATAACCTCACAAGATTTCCCAAATGTAAAATCCTCTTAAACCTCACATGCATATGCTTAATTTCATTCCAAGTTAGCTACCAAAAAGGATATTAGTAGTGATAAAAGAAGAGATAAAATCACAAATACTTTGTTTTATAGGACTTCTTCACTTTGTTTCAAATCTTTTTCCTCCATTCAGATGAAGGAGAATAATTCGGGATTTAGCTAAAAGTCTGGAAATAAAGAGAAGAAATTGATATTTCTATTGTTTGGCAACGTAAGGATGGAACTTAATAAATGACATGCAAAAAAAATAGTGAAAATTGGGGATCTAGATTACGGAGTTTATTTTCCGCCAAAAGATATGTCATTTCACAATTGCTATTGAGTGGGAATTCGTTTCATAATTGCTATTGAGCGGGAATTCGTTTCACAATCGAATTTGTAATTTCTATCATTTACAAAATTCAACATACATAAATTCAAACACTAAAATTATTAATTGCTAAAAATTTAAATGATGGAGATCTAAATTCTGTCATTTTAGAATTCTATGCAGTTTTCAATTCCTTCATCCAAATAAAAAGTAGTTAATTTGGGAGGTATCATGGAACTGAGGTATTAAAACTGGTTGCAATCGTGGAATATCGAGTATCAAAAAGCAAAACATTTGATGTTAGTAATAATGATAGAAATTGTAAATGCAAAATTTGAAATTTTAATAGGATATTAAATGTTAACCCAAAATTTCAAGCATTTATTGGGGAAAGCCCATGGATTTTTTAAAGAACAATTCGGACCCATTTGTGGGTTTATATCAATTTTGAATTAATGGTCGTGATGATGTGTCAGTTGATTTTTTCTCAACGCCCATTTTACCTCTAATAATATCCATTTGTTATCTTATTTTCCCCCAAAAATTATTTTATCCATTCATCATGAAATTAATTGCATAATAGCCATTTTTCTTTGTTAACCCCTTAATTGAATTTTCTTATCTTCCCTTTCCTATTTATTGTGGAATTAGTGACATAATAATAATTTATAAGATACCTTTAAAAGTTTCAACTTCTTCTCCTTTAAAAGTTTTTCAGTATTAGTCTACCTCCCAAAGAGGCATTTGAATTTGCTGTGAATTTGGCTAGTTCACATTAATGTGGATAGGTCTAGGAGAAATGCCTATGGGAATGTTGGTGCAGGGGGTGTTCTAAGAAATTCTTGTGGTGACTAGATAGGTGGTCTTGTTGTGAATTTGGGGAAAGGGCAAGCTCTAGTGGCTGAATTGTGGGATTTATTCTTTGGGCTTAAGCTAGCTTGTTCAGAAAGGGATTTCTCATCTTCTCATTGAAATGGGGTTTTACTTGATGATTTGCTAGGGGTTTGTAAGATATTTAATATTTCATTATTAATACCGATCATCCAATCCAATCCAATACAATATCATTTAGACTGGATCGGATTGGATTTAAACATCTAATATGATTAGATCGGATGAAAATTGACTAAATTGTATTGGTTTCGAACCGATATACACCCTTAACTTATTGATTGCAAATGTGATTTTTATTTTTTTTAATACAAGTGATAGTCGAAATTATAAGGGGAAGGAGGCTTCTCAAACACACACTGCTAAAATGTCATAAGAGTTTGAACTTGAGACCACTGGTCTGTAAGTCCATGCCATTTTCCATTAGGCTAGACTTCAAACATGATTTAGCTAAATTATAAGGAAATGAGATAAATATGGTTCTAATCAATGATCTCCACATAATGTTACATTAAGTAGGACTCCCTCCCCCACCCAACGGGGCGGGCCCCCGCCAAAAAAAAAGAAGAAGAGTATTTATATCTTCAGTGGTTTTGTAGGGCCATACAATTATTTCATGATTGTCCAAACCTTGTACACACACAAAAGTGAGACAGGGTATTGGAAAAAGGATTTCATTTTTCAATAAAACATAATACTAGAAAAATAAATGAAATAAAGTCTCGAGAAAAAGAGAAAATTTAGTTTTAGATCAAGGTAAATTTTGACATTTGTATTCTTTACTTCATCTAAAGTTGAGAAAAAATTTCATTTTAATTTTATAAATTCGAGAAAAGTTATGGAAAAAAAACTATTGAAATTCATTTTCGTGAAATTGCATCGTATTTTTCTTTAGTAAAAGTTTGCACTATGCTTCACATATGAAAAATGTTGCATAAGTAAATCATTTTTTTAATATATATATGTTTCAATTTGTAGAGAAATTATAGAATACTACGGTAATATGGCTACGCGATACATCTTATACACATGTTATAATATAGGTGGATATTTATGAATACTATTCCCTTAAAAAAAAAGAAAAAAAAAGGAAAATAAACCCTATTGTCCACACAAATTATAACACGTATACAATATGTACCATGTGACTATACTACTGTAGTCTATAATTTCTTCAATTTGTGAGGGACCTAGACACCTACAGAAAGTCCTAGGTCTAGCTCATAGGCTCCTTTTTTCATTTTCATTTTTAGTATTTAATTTTTGTTGACCAAACAAATCTAGTAAAAAATAAAAATAAATGAAAATAAAAAATTGTTTATCCAACGAGAAAGATTTCCTCCAAAGCATGTGAAGCTGATAAGTTTGTACTATGAACTCAAAAAGGAGAATCCCCGCATGCTGCCCCACATGCGGCATCCAAATAATTCTGTACTTCGATCCCCTCTACCACGTCAGCACCA